CATAGTGCAAAGTCTCGCGGTAGCTGGCGTTGCTATTCCTGCTCTTGTCGGGCGTTTGAGGCCGGGCTACCAGACTTCCGCTCCAAAAGTCGCGATTAAACCAACACAACTATTTACTGCTCGTATCAGCGCTCCTGGTGCGGCCCCTCAAAAAGTAGAATTGAAGCGTCGCATAAGATGTGCGACTTTCATTGCTTTTCCGGACCACGTCATCACATGATGTTTGAAGTTAAGACGCGGATCGAGGTAAGCTCCAAGCCAACGAACTTGTTCAGCTGGTTCTATGAGAGTGCCGTTTACGTGGATGCCAACCGCTGCCTCGCGATGCCGTGGTGGAAATTGTTCTACCTCTGACTTTTCTGTGTCGAATTCGACAGCATTTTTCTGAGCCCACTCCAGCAGGTGGTCGACTTTTTTCTGGGCTGCTGCAGCAGACTCAGCAGTGGTGCGGCTAAATCCAAGAATGCCGATGTCGTCAGCGTAGCTAAACCTTAGATTAGGAGTACCACTCCGCATTGGCTCTGCCATGTATAGAAGAGAAAAGGCGAGATCGGCGAGCCCTGTGGGACCCCGCAAACTAGCTGTCGCTTTGTCGTGACTCCTTCCGAGTGTCAGACCTGTACCATTTGTTGTGCAAGGAACGAGGTTGTCCACTTTAGAACTGAGTCTGGCCATCCTTGTTCTTGCATTCTTCTCACTAGACGGTTATGAAGAACTGCATCGAACGCACCTTGTACGTCTAAGGTGACGAAAGTGGCCGCCCACCCTTGTGTGCGCGCCTCCTCGACATCGTGTACTACACAGGAGACTAGGTCTGTTGCTGAGCGCCTCGAGAGTGCGCCGAATTGTTGCCGACCAACTACATCAAAAATCACTGCTAAGTACGCCATCCGTTTTGCCAGAAGTCTTCCAAGTCCTTTACCAAGGCAAGAAAGAAGGGCAATTGGTCTCCATCCTTTGACAGTTGTTGGGTCCCTTTTAGGCTTCTGTACAAGTACTACTTCGGCCAATTTGAAACAATTCGGATGCGTACCGAGCTGTATGCAAGCTCTGAAGAGCTTGAACATACAGGGTCCAATTGTCTTCCAGCAGGCCACTAGCAGCTGTATGGAGACTCCGTCTGCTCCCGGAGCCGTGTTTCCACAGCCGATAGTACAAGCTCGGACTTCTTCCTCGGAGATGTCGTCCTTCCATGGTATACGGTTGTTACTTGTGGCGATGCAAGGCGGCAGGTCGTCCGATGTTTGGTGTCTTGCCAGGAGACAGTCACAGAGAACTGTGGCTAGCTCTAGTGGATCAGAGATGAGAGCTCCGTTGTGATTGAGGGGTGGTGGGATGTTTGTCTGTCTAGGCTCAGCCATTCTCATCAGCTTAAAAACATCGTTCGGCGTGTTCATTCTTTCCACCTGCTGTGCTTGATGTTCTTTTTTGGCAGCTCTGATGACTGATCGGAGCTTTTTAGCATACACTGCACGTTGGAGGGGTGATTCTGCCGCTCGATATTCAGCCCATGCTTCCTTATACGCCGGGGTCCACCACGGGGCTGATTTACCGCCGTTTGCTCTGGGTCGAGTTCTTGTTGCATTGATGGCAGTCTTAAGCTTTAAGCAAAGTTCCTGGGCATATTCTTCTACCTTTTCGATTGTATCTAAAACTGGCGGTAGACGGACCAACTTAGTAATAGCTCGTGCAAAGTCGGGCAGTCTTTCCTTCGTCACTCGAATCTTGCCCAAGTTGGGTCTCAATGTTGCGGACTGGACCGGGATTATTCCTCGGATAGGAAGGTGGTCGCTGGTGACACATTCATCATGGTCAACCCATGCACGGCTGCCATTAATGTTGGTCCAGACAAGGTCCAGGGTATTTCCAGCTTGATGCGTGGGTTCTCCAACAATAAGGCAGGTTAGATTGTGATCTTCTGCCCATCTTTCAATCATTTCACCTTGCCCGTAGGGGCTCGTGACTCCTGGTTGCCAGGCACAGTACACCGAATTGAAATCACCCGCAGCGACTGAGTTTGGCGGCGGGGTCCAATTGATAAGTGGCTGTACGGCTGATGTGTCTCTGGGTGCCTTGTACACATTGAGGAAAGTGACTCCATTAACAAGCACCCAGCAATAGTCGCCCGTCAGCTTAGCACAGGGGAAGAGTTGCCTTGCTGATATTGTCCTATCATCTTTCCGGGTGTAGGTCACAGCCCTTGGCCTGACCTTTTCGCCACCATGAGGTAAATGGCAAATGTATCCAGGATGCGACATTGTCTCTTCTTTCCGCCGAGGTTCTTGAATTAGGGCTACGTCGATATTCAGGTCAAATGCTCGGGCAAGTGCAATATTCTGAGTTGGACCTCCTCTACCTACGTTTATTGATATGAAACTTAGAGTAGGAGGGAGGCGGAAAGGGGCCCGTGGGGCACCCTTCATGAGTGATTTTTCGGGACGACCGCCTCTGTGACCTCAGTCACGTTTGGCGTCTCATCCGTCATTAGAACCTCGTAGCTGTTATTGGAGCTGTAGTCCGGCGTAGCTGTTTTGGCCATCTCAGTGGCGGCTTTGATATCGGCCTCTGCTCGTCGAACGGCGATTTTCGCCCGGATCACCGCGGCATATTCGCATTGGCTAGCGTACCTGATCTTTTCGAGGGTTTCCCTAGATGCCATTCCGGACTTATTGAGGCGGGCCAGACAGTTTCGGCTGTCTGATCTGTGAGGACCCCCGCAGTTGCGGCACTTGGTGTGTCCTTGGCATTCCGAAGTGGAGTGCATTGTTAAGGTGCAGTTCCAGCACACTGGGGCGCGCGACCAACTCTGGGTCCCGTGGTATAAGAGACATCGCTTGCATTGGCTCACAGTTTGGCGTGGCTGATGGCGAACAGCGATTCCCGAGTCGTCAAATAGTGGGAAGCCTGGTCTAGGGACGGACGCTCTTTCAAAATGAGCTACCTATGTCTGGTATGGGGCTCCGACTCTCCCTTTTCCATGAGGGCGGACCCTTACAGGAACCTTTGAAGTGACCCTGGCGATTTCTTCGGCCACTATCTCGCCGGTGACAACTACTTTACCTAGGAGTGTGTGAATTGCGACGGGAGTTGTCGCAATGCGAAGGGCCACTAAATCTGAGGTGTTACGGCACGTGAAGGAGGTTGTATAAGTTATTATATTGCTATCAAGAGGTACGCTTGTAAAGGCAATAAAAGACGAAGAGAGGAGGTAGCTACTCTCGACCCTCTCTAAGATATCTCCCTCGGCTGTGCTCAGTCATCCAACGTGATGCCAAGGCGCACTAACCCGTATCCCCACACGCACGCAATACGGCTCTCACGGATCGTGACATGAGGCCTTCTCCAGGATTGCGTCTACCTGGACGAAAGACTCAGCAGAGTCCAGAAGGAGCTGTCTTACCTCCAGGTTTTTGGCTCGGAGTGCAAAGCCAGTCGGAACACGGTATACATGTTCAATATTCTGCGGGGATAGCTCGAGCAATTTTGCTGTCGCATCTCGGACACCGGCCGGCGAGAGTGCGCGCCAAGCATGTTCTTTTCCGAGTCGAAGAAACAATCAATCATCTTTGGGGCCAGTTTTCTTAGTTTTTGCCGGAGGTCTCGTTGGTGTCGGGGGTTTGTTATGGACCCGCACATCTTTCACAGGAGCTTCTGGCGTGTGGAGGCCAGTTCGGGTAACTGTTGCCCAGGTAGGTTTGACCTGGGTCACCTTGACCTGGGTCGCTTTTTGTAGCAGCTCTGGCTGCTTTTCAATCGTTTGTTCCACGATCTTTCCACCATGATTCTGGCAGTTTGGTCGTGGGTGGAGGTTGGGAAGGACTGTTCCTGGTCCCGACATCATGAATTGAGCGATTGCAGCTCGGAGGTAGACTTTCATGGAGTCTATAAATTGAACGCTTGACCCCTTGGATAGAGGTGAGAGCGCATTCTCCACACCATTGATAGCAGCGGTGCATATTGTGAAATTAGTTGCGGTCTGGGCCGCTCGCTGTTCTTCGGCTTCAAGTATGGCTCGAAGCTCGGGAGGACAAGTCGCAGTGTTCTTGGAGTTGCCATCGCTACAAGAAGTTTGATTATTTCCACTTGTCCTCGGAATGGGGTTCTGAGGGGCTGTAGTTGACGTGGCTTCGTCGGCCTTTTTTAAGTTAACATTAGCTGTCCGCTTCATGGCCGGCACAGCAATCTTCCTCGTGTCTGTAATAACGGGGGCCTCTGAGACCTGACCGTCTTCGGGTTCACTGACATTCCATCGTGAGCTCTCAAGCCCCTCCATGATAAATCGGTCGATAACCGCATCACCCATTTCAACATCTGGGTTTGTGGAGTTAGAATCTCCTTCAAAGGCTCTTATCCTCTCGGTCATTTCCGACTCCATTTTTCGCTCGTCTATCGAGCTCAATGGTATATTCTTTTTTGCCAAGCGCTTTTTCAGCCTGGTATTCGCTTTCAATTGTTCTTTGATGGCGAATAGGTTGCGATGATTTGGCAGGCCCCGGAGACATATTGGAGATCCGGAGTCTTGCTACTGTGAGAATTCGAATTAGTGTAATTGTATGCGAGTCGGAGGGGGACGGTAATGGTAATGGGGTATCTTATTGATGCTCTCATGAATATTCAGGAATTCTAGCTTTGATATTGTGTCATAGGTAGATAGCTGCACACGCAATTAAAATATGATGCAAAAAATTAGTACTTGGTCCCTTTACGCAGAGGCCGTCTGCAGGGGGGTCGTTTACGGGATTAAGATACTTTATATCAAGGCAAATAAGTAAGCCAAGGAATAGAGTGTGCGATCCCCATATGAATCCTGAATGGTTGCATCGAAAACATGTCATATGTGCTTAATCAGTGTCTGGCACCTATGATATTAATAAAATAAAATCAGAACTATTAGCAACCCATTCGAATCCTTGACCCATTCGCCACTGTACTGCCTTTATGAAATGATTGGAATATAGCATACATGGACCTATAACACCTAGTCTTTACCTGACATTTATTTAATCTACCTTGCCGTTAGTACCGTCCACAATCATTTTATCTTTATCATCAAGTCTTAAAAAGCCACCCCGATTTCTTCGTGCTCGCCCTCGGCCCCAAGATAGGCTCCCAAGAACTATTATCACGAGACATCCAGCACACAGAAAAGGATGTCCGCTAAATATAACTTTTAAATCAAAGAAAACTTTTTCGAATTTCGAAATCGTACTCTTTGGCTTAATTTTTGGCGGGGATGAAACAACTTTGGGTATTGTTTCTAGTATCGAGGTTCGAGATGCTAAGATTGCGTTGCCGGTGATCGTGGTATCCCAGTATGAACGGTTCTTTTCACGTCAGTGTCTGTATGTTAGGGAGGTTGAGTACTTACATCTTCATCATTTATGACGACTTTCTCTCCGTCTTTGGCAACTTCAATGCCGTAAGTTTGCCGAATCCAACGTTCCCAAAAAACACCATCAACCCAAGCAAATCCAACTTCTTTTCGTTCGGATTTATCCATACTAATATGGATATTCTTAGCAGCACGGAGAGCACGCTGATCGTTGCGATCTTCCGCCTCCTCGATCCTAAGTTGCTTAGCATCTCGTAATTCTTGACGCTCTCTTTGAAAGGCAATTGTTTGCTTATCCATCCACTCGAGGGCAGCACTTTTTAGTTCTTTTTTGGCCATCGCAAACTCTTCCTTTCGCTCGCAAGATAGAATAGCTAATACTATTAATTTTCCCTCCATTATCTCTCTTGAATTTGATGCCGTGAGCTCAGGTACTATCGGTAGCCATACTGACTGCATCCAGTGAAGAACTCGACGAAAATCCCGCATGTCTTGTGGTGCAAGAGCTGTATAATAGGTTGGACGGCCATCTCGTGAAACCAATAATCGGGGCCAGGAGGTTATTCTGAAACGTTCGACCAAAATTTGACTGTTCGTCTTTACTAGCTTCGCATGTCCGATCAGGCTAAGCGTTAGCCTTTCTAGAGCAGCGAAGTCTTCGCTAGTTGTTGCATGGTCGTAGAAGTAAACAAAGATTACCTCCTCTGTTTCCTCCATCTTTTTAAATTCTACTGCATCAACAGTCTTCACACCGGTTCCAAGGTCTATAGCTTTGTTTGCATAGGCGAGAAGATCACCAAGTCCTCTCAAACCGTCGTACTCAACGCGCTCACCTCCCCGGAAAAAAAGAATTGTTGGATAGCCTCGTATATGAACGTCCTTGCAAAGCCTTTTTTCGACTTCACAATTAACTTCCCCAACGTTGAGCTTCCCTTTCATCTCTTTTGAAAGCTGGACCCAATTTGGTGACATGGCTTGACAATGGCCGCACCATGGCGCAAAAAACTTGATAAACCATGGATCTTGAGACATAGTTACATCATGTTGAAATTTTTCTGTTGAAAGTGAGATAGATGTGCCCAGGGGGTTAGGAGGTAATTGAGGTTTAGATGGTTGAACATGAGTAGACAGTGCAGTCTTCACACCTGCCTTTATCTTTGATTCAGAGCTTTCAGCACTACTAGTCTGCAGGGTTTGATTATCGTCTGTAGATGTAGCGGCATCTAAATTGGGTTTTTGTGTATCTTTAAACTCCTTCGCTCCAACTTTTGGAAGCTTTGGTCCACCAACTGGTCGAGAGCCTGGCCTAATTGTTTCCAGTTGATTTTCGATGATGTCACTCAATTGCTTCATGTCGCGCCCACCCTCAAATCGATTGATTTCAACTCCTTTTTTGAAGATAATGAAAGTTGGATACGCGTTGACATTTTGAGCTCTGCATGTTGATCCATAAGCATCGCAATCAAGTGAGCCAAAATGATAGCTAAAATACTCAGAAAACGTATTTCCTGAACCCGTGATACTCTGCACACCTGAGCTCTGCGGAAGAGGGGTTGAGGTGTAATAAAATTCGTAAAGCGTTTGCCATATAGGTGCGACAGCTTGGCAGTGTGAACACCATGGCCTACCGTTAGTTAGATAAATCTTGGACATGAGCAGCCAGCTGCAAAAGCTAAAATAAACTTACGAATAGTGTTTCACAAACCAATAGCCATCTTTAATCGATTCAGTAAAGTTCATTCCATTTAGTTCTGGCAAGGGCGGTACTTCGACACCGTTAAATGTTGTAGATGCTGCGCCATCACCAGAATCCTCACTCCAAAAGTCTGAGCTTGCATAGCCAGTAGCTATGAATATTCCAACTAACAAACCATATATTATTGTCGTCTTGTGAGCTTTCTTGTATGATAGAAGCATATTTTGAAATGGTCTATTGTACGTCTATACTTTTCTCCAGAATAGATGCCAGTTGAGCCTCGGAGGAACAATAGTTAGGGGTCAACCGTTTAAATTGGAAGTTGATGTTGCTGTAAGTTTCACACATGTGTCCTGCTCTTTTGACGAATGAGTTGGTGATTCAATTCGCTAACTATTGACGCATTGAAGCCTGTATGAAGACGCTGCTCACTCACTGTGGATAGCCACACTGCCCAGTTAAGCCTGAGGCAAATTCGTAGGTCATTAACCACGAAATACTGGGATGAGATGTGCGGCATGACTCGCAAAAACGCACCGATAGCCAAAATGAAGCCATCAGTCAAACGAAGAGTGAGAACCTCTCCGTGGTGTCCACCACCATCCTACGAGTGGAATTTTCTCCCAAAGCCAAGCCCACTTAAATTTCGAAATAATGAAGAATTTGATCCACAAAGCAACGATCCAAGACTCCTAAAAGTATCAATTCTTCCACTCTCAATATTGTCGATTCCCATTAAAGCCTCTTATTTTTTGCATTAGATTTGAATTACGTATGCAGCTATCTAGCTATAATAAAATATCAGAAGAAAAATTACAGAATAGATAACTTAATTTAAAAATAGAGCGCTTATACCTCGGATTTCATTTGCAAGTACCACTGCGAATTCATACCACCAAAGCATCATCAAGCCTGAAAGAACAATCTAACACATCCTCATTTCAATGACCACAAATCACTGCACCTCTCGTCGACTCAGCCTCTAGTCTCAGCTAGCTTCCAAATACACGTTACGAGAATACAAATACCGAAGAAGATAGAAATGGTGGTGCACAAATCTGGCGAGGCAAATGTTTGGAGTAAACTCGAGATAGATAAGGATAGATATGCAAGACTGTACTGGAGATTAAAATATCGGATTTTGTGAAGGGATTTCTCTCATCAAAAAATATTTTACGCGCCACGACATAGATCGCGAGAGCTCAGCTGGGACTGAAAGTACGGCAATAGCTTGTTGGTTTGGTAAAATAACATCTAAGTAGGTCTTTCAAGTAGGGTCTATAAAACTTGAAGACCTATTCCAGTTGATACAGGAGGATTCTGGCTCCGACTCAGCTAGATAAATTTATACTTATGTGGAAAGAAAATCCGACATCTATTAACGGTGTCCCTTACGTAGCCCTTGCCGTCCTTGAATATTCCGCAGAGCTAGGATTGAGTTCAAAGTTGGCTAGGCGGGCTTTTATTGTCAATGAGTCTCTGGAACTTTGCACTGTCCGACATCATACTAATACAATGCTGGGTAATTCTTGAGTGAGGACATCCGGTCAAAGCCTCCCTAGCATTACTACAGGAAAAAATACAATACGATCCTCCCAAAAGCTAATATTTAATCTGGAATTGAGACTCAAGCCTTTGCAATGAATACAAACCATTGAAGTAATACTTGAAGACAATTAGCCCAAAACTCTGTCAATTACTGAGCCTTGGTATTGGCAAAGAGTTCAGTTTTCTTCATTTTTTACCAAGAGATTGACCTTCGCCTAAACCTCTGATGTAAGATTAAAAATCTTACCTTCTTAAGACTTCCCCCGATTTGTATATCGAAAAGGCATTCCTTTCTTCAATGTTCTCAAAACGAAATCAGAGTGCCTCTAATATTGTGTCAAAGGAAATATCCGCTTTGCAAAAAATACTTTATCCGAGATGAATTAGCTTATTAACTGAAGTATCTCAGCTTCTAACTATTCTTATGTCTTTCTATGTATGTAAGAGTATAGAAAGAACTTTGGAGTAAGAAATACCTGGGAACGAAGAAATTCATTTTGCCTGATGATCCAAATATACTCCGGATATCACGATATATAGAGTAGAATTCCACGGGAGACAGGTTACCCGGAACCTAGCTGGGTGCAGAAGTATTTGAGATCCCTGGCTAGAAATTAATTATCCACCGATCTAGATAACTAGGGCGTGCAAGAGAAAATACAAACAAACCAAATACTGGATCTATTCGGTAAGAATAGGATTCAGGCAGACTCAATGCTTGAGTCTTTCTGGATCAAATGTGTATATCCCTACCCGAACTTAGAGGCGTAGTCTAGGCAAGATGCACACAACCACACTGGTCTATTGAAAGGATTGCAAGTAGATGTATTTCTGACAATTTGTGCATCTGTTATATAATTGAAGTTCTGAGCTAAAGTAAAAGCTCTACGTTTTAGTGTGGATGCAGGACAGGTGGAGCCGGTAAGGATCACTATGTACAGGCCCAACTCATTCCAACCGCGAGAACTTCCACAAAAATGATAGAGGTTCACAGCAAAAATTAAATCAAAGACTAAAATCAAATTTAGAAGAAATCCCCATTTGGTCCGGATCCCTCGCTTCTTGCATGTTCCATTTCCTATCACATCTTCCAGGCGAATATTTCTGATATTCGCTGAGTAAAAGATGAGTTTGCAGATGTGATGGGCGATCAACAAAACAATATAGTAAAGGAATGGTGGCCGATTACTGTCTATTTTCTACATACATCTCGGAGCTGTCCACTGAGGGGAGGCTACTTAAGGTGTCCCAACTCCCAATGCGCTAACCTCACTATCTATTCTACTACACCATATCCTTGATATTCCGAGTGGGCTCGTCATAGCGAAACTGGGTCGTATCGGCCCATGATTCCATGTGAGACTTGCTGCAACAATATCTTGTTTCCATATTTGTTGCAACCCTGTATTTGTATGGCCAAGTTGGACATCTCTTTAGATAGCAAGGCTAATGACGTAATAATGATAAGTGTCCGTGCGACAGTCACTAGGAGATAGGCGCAGCCTGTAACAGCAGGCATCCATTCATTCATTGCTCTAGTTTAACTTCCTATGCGGTATATATATACAGAACCATGAAGACGGTAAGCCATGTTAAGAAGGGAAAAAGCTTTCAACAAACAAAACCCGATGTCCTGCCACTTTGAACCGACCTGGCTTTATGCTGAGGACGTTCCTTTCAACCGCGATTTTATAAACTTTCCCCAGAATTCGTTAACTCCCCTTTCGATCAGACTAACGTTATGAAAAATTGAAAAGAGAAGGCACCTCCTCACTCGGCGTTGGTCTTCGAAGTGTTCGAAGAGTTGGCCCCGATGGTGGTGCTGTTGTGGCGGGGATTGTTGGTGCCACTGGGGCTTCGACTACCTTGCGTGGTCGTGCCGGCCCTCTTTTGAGTACTTCAGCCTTTTTACTGGTGACCAAAGTGAATCCTTGATCATCAGTCGTTTCGACTGTTCGCATTGGCGCCACAGTAGGTTTCTCGTTCCATATTTCCGCCGTCCTCGATAATAGCTCCATCCCAGCCTTCTCCACACTTCCCTTGTAGATCTGGTAGGTCCGACACGCTGCTTTCTGCCACGAACGGTGCTCCTTGCCGCAGTTCGCACAAGAAACCCTTTTCCTCGGACAGTCCCGAGTTTGGTGAGCGCCAGCGCACTCACCGCACCTGGCTGCCTTTCCACACGACGCCTGCGTGTGTCCCCACTGGCTGCAGTTGTAACACTGCTTTGGCTGTGACCGTGGTGACCACACCTGCGCGGTGTAGAGCATGGCGTTCATCACAAGGCCGTTTCGAACCACTTCCGTCTGCATTGCCTCCGATGGGAGGCTTACCACTATTGATCCTCGAGTGCGGCCATTTTTCTTTGACCGCTGGTGTTCCTTTCCGTCGTGTAACCACCTTATACGACTTATCACTAAGCCTGGAATCCTTGCCTTTGTTGCCGTCTCTATCTCCCTGATGATAGCAAAATTGTTTGCATCTCGGCCTCCTTCAATTCGTGTCTGTAATGGTACACCGTCAACCTCGACTGGGAAATCTTGCCGTAAAATTTTGAAGTCCGTTGGTTGTCGCATGTTTAGCGCCACGTCTCTCTGGGACGCCGACTGGACGAACACATCAGTGTCGTTGCTTCGCATTTGGCGAATCGCGTATGCGCCTTTAATGTGTTGTTGTGCCTTTGTTAGCAGCTCTTGTGGCTGCAAGTTTTGTGCGCCGTCAATTCTTATTCTGACCGCCGTTTTCGCCATTTGCGGAGCTACGACCGACGCGTAACTCCTTGCTGTCGGCGCGCTCGAAACCGCTGCTGGAGCAGCTTTCCGAGCGGGATCCGCGAGGCTTTTCTTTACGACTTCCTCTAAAGCCATCATCCTCTCCTCGATAGGAGACTTCTTCTGGGTCATTTCCGTCCAGGCCCTTTTTTGCGCGTTGAAGGCCTTGACGGCCTCGTTCACGTCCTCCATTGAGGGTAAGTCCTCCTCATCCACCTCTCCCATCACGATTAGTCTGACCTTTTTCAATAGTTTCCCTAGGATTTCAAGGTTCTTATCCTTTGGAGCTGTCTGCGCTCCGCTACCGTTGTTTGATGGTGCCATTGTCGCATTTTGAGACGCGTCGAAACCGCTGGATTTCCCCACACCAGCACCAACACTCGCCATGTTGGAGCACGGAAAGCGAAAAGATGGTAGGAGAATTATGAAGATGTAAAAATAATAATCACGATGTCAATTTGATGATACGGGCAGCGTGGAAGGCTGCGGAGCTTTCTGGCAAAAATGATGTTTTTATCGTTTGCAGGCATCATTTGTCCAGCCAGTGTCCTGCTTTTCTTTGTTGAAGTCTCGACGACTTCACTGAGGCTCGCTGTAACCTAAACCCTCCTCTTCGGGATCCAGAATTCCAAGCCCCATTCCATCTACCAACCAGAAATCTTTCTTCGAGCCATCAATCGCCTTGTGGGCTATTTCGGTTGCAACTTTGACACTAGCATATTCTGCCAGCTTCTTTACTCGGCCTTGCGAATTATCGCGAGCTGCTCTTTTTCACTGGGCCAGACTTGTTTGACATGGCTTCACAGACCCGCGAATCCTAGTGGTGAGGTCCACCACAGTTTCGACACCATGTGGGAGCTTTGCACTCTGCTTTAGAGTGCATATTTGATCTCCAGTTCCAG